GGCAGGCGTGAATGATTGCTATTAATTAATATGCTTAATCCTTATTAATTAACATGAATTCTTCTTAAATCGATGCATAGGAGGCGGGAAGGGGGCTCCGTCAGCTCCTGAGAGCTAAATGCTGGAGTCACGTGTAAAGCCAGAATTATTTCCAAATGATAATTTTTTTGTTAAAATTTATTGATTTTTTATTAAAATTTGTATTTAATTTTTTTAATTTTTAATAAAATATTTATTGCAATGTGTTTATACTTTTATTTACATTTTTATTAAAAATGGTATTAAATTTTTATTAATTTATTTCTTAAATTTTTATTAACTTTTTAATTAAAATTGTTATTAATTCTTTTAGTAAAAATTTTATTTAAATTTTATTGGAATATCTAGTAACATTTATAGTAAAATTTGTATTAAATTTTGCAATAAGCAGCTGCGTTTGTGAACCCTGTTACAAACGAATTTTCAAACAAAGGCGGAGCTAATCACTTCCAAACAATTGAAAATAACGAGGCGTTGGCCGCCTGCATCTCCCGAACCTTCAAAATCACTTTTCCTTGTGAAAAAAAATCAAAATGTAAAGAAAATGGATGGAAAAAAAAAACGGGAAATGTGGGAAAACACCAAGAACAGGAGAAAAATGGGAGATTAGGCCCAAACGAAACGGGATTTGGGCTCCAGTTTCATCAGGGTTTTTTTTAATTACCTTTCCAACCAACGGCGTTACTCCGTCCGACTCGTTGACCCAAATTTTCTTGCTTTGCCCCCGCTCGTAGGCTTGGTAGGGGGAACCGTCAGCGCGAGCCTCTGTGCTGATGGCCGGATCCTAAAAAAAAAGTGGGAAACCCCCCCAAAAGAAACCGGTTGCCAGGCAGTTGTTGGGGCTCCGCACCCCTCGTGGAGAACCCAGCGACCGCAGGGAATGGCGTCTTGTGTGAGAACGTACGTAACATATATAAAAATAATTTTTAAATCTATTTAATAGATGTTTTTATAGAGATTTTTGTATCTATGTTGGGGTTTATTGATATAACGGCTCTCTCCGCCGGTCATTCGTTCTCTCCACTGGTGAGGTAGAGCCCAGCAACACAACGCATGTGGATCTGCTGAGGGGGAGGGGGCTCTGCAGAGGGACCTGGCCAGGCTGGATCCATGGGCCCAGGCCAATTGGGTGAGGGTCAACAAGGCCAAGGGCCGGGTCCTGCCCTGGGGTCACAACAACCCCAGGCAATGCTCCAGGCGTGGGGCAGAGGGGCTGGAAAGCTGCCCGGCGGAAAAGGCCCTGGGGGGGCTGGGCGCCAGGGGGCTGAATA